AACTATTTGCTTTAAATATTATACGGATCTTGTATTTGTACTGTACAAAAAAAATTTACATTTACTCTTTAAAAAAATTTTTATTTATATTTCAACTTTTTTTTCAACAAATGTTTTGAACAAATTAGATTCATTTGCTTTCTATTATTAAGTTAAGTCATATTTATTCTATAAAATAATAATTATTTGTGATTAATATTTATGTATAAAAAACAATTTGTATTTATCAGCACTGACTTGAAAATTATAGAAAAATTAAAAGTAAAGGACAATCTAAAAACATATCTATTTTTAGTGTTTGAATTTCAGAAAAATTTTTTATTAATATCGGAAATTTTGCTAATTATGCAAAAATTGGCAACAAAATAAAATTTTAAAATAATATGTGTAATTTTGTTCGCAGGGTAAGATTAAAAGTTAGTAATAAATGGTAAATTAATAATTCAAGCCAAAATATGAACCATAATATCAGGTGATGAATTTGGGTGGCGATTTACTACCACAATACCGACAGGAAACGCCAAAAACATCACCACATATTATTTTGCATTATTCTACGTTCAAAACAATCTGGGATTGGTCTATTTTAGCACTCACTTTTTATACTGCTTTTATGGTACCCTATAATATTGCCTTTAAGGTTATTTGGATTTCAATTTACGAGTTAAACATCAATTAAGTCAAGTCAAGTCAAGTCAAGTCAATCAAGTCAAGTCAAGTCAAAACTTTTTTACTGACTTTGCTATTAAAATATTATTTTGTTGCTGAAAGCATGAAAAAAAATAGGAAATTTACCTTTGCAATTTTATCAAATTATTTTTTAGTATATTATTTTTAGTTCTGTCATATTTCAATTTGTTTTATTATTTTTAAAGTAAATAGTTGATACTTTGAATCAAAATACCGTAATAGAATTTAATAAAATTTATCAGCACCTCAATTATAATTATAGACACGGGAGCATCCACCTCGTGGTTCCATTGATATGGTAGCTCTTATGGATTCTATTGTTGATGTAATATTTTTTGCTGATATACTTTTGAACTTTCACACTACTTTTGTTGGTCCTGGCGGTGAAGTGGGTCTTCAATATTCATTTTTTAATAATGCAACTTTTTAGCTCATATAATACCATAGAAAATTTTCGACAATTAATTAGCAACCAAAATTAATAGCTTTTTTTTGGAAAAAACATTAGTTTAAGACCTTTAAATATCAATATTTAAATATATCAAATTAATAAAACTAATAATAATAAATAGAATAATATTAAATTTATTAACTTTAATAGTTTATTGAAATTTGCAAAACTTTAATACTATGCTTTCATTGTTATCAAATGATTATGCAAATTAATGGAGCAATAATTGAAAAAATTTTTCATTCGTTAATCAAGTGATATATGTTGAAAAGCAATTTTCAGGTAGTAATTGAACCAACTATTATTAGGTGCAATTATTTTAAGTCCTGGTTTCTCATTGACCTCTTATCTTGCCTTCCATATGATATATTTTATATGTTCAAACACGATGATGAGGTTAATTTTAAATTGGCTAATTTGTGCACTACTATTTATCATAAATGAGGGAACAAATTTCAATAAATTTGCAGAGGGTAGGATCGTTATTAAGTGCGCTGAAAGTTGTACGTCTACTTCGACTAGGACGTGTTGCACGTAAATTGGATAACTACTTAGAATATGGAGCAGCTACGTTACTTTTACTTTTGTGTGCTTACGTGCTTGTTGCTCATTGGTTGGCTTGCGTATGGTTTTCCATCGGTGAATATGAAGTCAAAATAAGAGTAAACTTTTCACTTTATTACTACTATTATTATTATTATTATTATTATTTTAGTACATTTTTACAAATAACTAGTAGTTTAATGATCATGAATATAAGACGAATATTTTGTTTAAAATTTTTCAAAATTGTTTGAATTATATAAATCATAATTTAAATAATTAAATAGTATTTTTTTAATGAAAGATCTGTATTTAAGCTCTTTCATGTAAAACTCATTCGGTTCAAATTTTAAATCAATAATATGCACATTTTTATCATTTTTCTGCCACAGTTTTTTGCTCAGTGCAATAGATAATGATCTTATGATCTTGATCTGAAAAAAAAAGTGATCTAAAAAAGTAGTCAATAAAACTAAACATCTTTATTAATTAATTTCGTTTTTCAAAAAACATAAAAACAAATATCTAAAAGAAATTTTCTATTTAAAAATTTTCTAAACAAATATCTAAGAAATTTTCAAGCAATTTTTAATCAGTCATGCAATCAATTAATCATCTGTTACTGCTTTGCTCAGATTTGAAAAAAAATTATGATGCAAATATAAAGCTGAAATCATATATTCAGATTACTCTGAACAATATTATATATGTAAAATCAAAATAAAGTGATAATTATTATGAGTTAATAATTTTCAGTTTTTAACACCAACAATGCCGGAGGGATGGCTGACAAAACTATCAAAAGAGCTAAACTTGCCATTTAATTATACATTCAAAAACAGAATAAGATTAGTTGGTGGACCTCAACGAAGTTCAGCGTATATTAGTGGTCAGTAAAGTATTTGAAGCAAAAATAAATTATATTCTTGCTTAATTTTAGTTTTATTATTTACAGCATTATACTTTACCATGTCATGTTTATCAACAGTTGGATTTGGCAATATTGCGTCCACTACTGATAATGAAAAAGTTTTCGGAGTATGTATGATGATTATCTCTGCACTACTTTATGCAGCCATATTTGGCCATATGACCACTATTATACAGCAAATGACATCTGCTACTATTAGGTTATTCTTTTGTAAAATTATTTATGAATATGTTATTACTAAGTGCTAGTATTATACGAATATTAACTCTCGAAGTTAGTTTATCATTAACGTTATCATTCTTATGCTATTGGTTTTACAATGATATCCTTTATTAATTAAAATAGTTATAATTCATAGTGATAACCAGAATTTTTGTCATTTTTATCTGTACTAATAAATATAAGCAGCTTAGTCTAATTCATTATTATGGTTAAATGAAAAATATTTGAACTTTATTGAACTTTGACCTGAGAAATTTGATAGATTAACCGATTTTACCAGTCATTTAAAAAAATTTGAGACAGATAGGATTGAATAACTAGAATTTACTGTAAAAAATTTGTCATCAGTAACGAGTAATTTATTAATAAAAGTGATTAGATTAATTATGCAAATGTGAAGAGCAGCTTGTTAGAAGTTTGTTTAGATATCATGACATGATAGCAAATGTACGAGAATTCATCAAACTACAAGAAGTACCTAATGAACTTGCTGAACGAGTAATGGATTATGTAGTAAGCACTTGGGCTATGACTAAAGGGATTGATACTTTAAAGGTTTTTTGTTTTTAAAAAATTATTTTCAAAAAATAATAAAGCTGATCAAGAAATCAAATTTTAACATTGATTTTTTTTCAAATTAGTCGAGTAATATTTTAAAACATTAATTAATAATTAATTTTAAGATAGAAACTCAGCAAAAATAATTTCCAGTTTGTTTAAAAACTAACAGTTTAATTATTATTAACCTGCTTTTAAATGCATATATTTTGAAAAATGTAAGGTACTTGGATACTGCCCTAAAGATATGAAGGCCGATATATGTGTCCATCTGAATCGAAAAGTATTCAACGAACATGCATGCTTCCGTCTTGCATCAGATGGTTGTCTTCGACAAATTGCAATACATTTAGAAGTACATATAAATTTTCCAGAATCACTTTTGCCTTATATATAATATGCAAACAAAAATATTTTAAACTTTGCATTAAATGAAAAATAAAAAATTCTTTCAGTGCTGAAACTTTTAACGTTTTTACATATATAAACTTAGTTTATTTTCGAAAAAATAAATTTTAAAAGACAGAAACAACGATATTAATATTAATGGACACTTACATAATATAACTTCTCTACTTTTTAAGCATGCAAAATGTGTTATTAAGCCAAGTAATTACTTTCGTGAATATAAATTAGAGTAATGCACATTTATTTTTTTTTAATTTTTAGAGTAATCATGCTGCTCCTGGAGACCTGATATACCATACGGGTGAATCTGTTGATGCACTGTGGTTTGTTGTGTCGGGATCACTCGAAGTGATTCAAGATGAAGAAGTTGTTGCCATTTTAGGTATCATATTTATATGTGTTAATCATTATGCAAATTAGGCTTCAGAGTAATTGCAATTTATTCATAATATAGTACTTTTTTTTATTAGTATAAAAACAATAATTAAATATCATTGTTAGTATCATTACTAGCATGACAAATTATTAATCAAATAAACGTTATATTTTTAGTTTTTAAATTTTGAGTAATGAAAATGTTGATTTGAAATTATTTAGGCAAAGGTGATGTATTTGGAGATGAATTTTGGAAGCAGTTAGGAACAGGTCAAAGTGCAGCAAATGTTCGAGCACTTACTTATACGGATTTACATTCTATAAAAAAAGATAAACTTATGGAGGTTACGGATTATTATTATTCATGGAATAAGTGAAAAAAATCAATAAATATTTGGTAGATCATAATTATTGGAAATTGTTTAATAATTAGAATGATAAGACAAATATTTACTTTTGAAAAAATTAATTTCAATAGCTAATATATGAAATTTTTATAATCTTAATGAAAACTAGTCAAAACGTTATTATTACAATAAATAATTCGAAGTATATTTTCGAATTATTTATTATTTAGAATAATTTAATTATGACAAGCTATTTCAGGTGCTTGACTTCTACAAAGCTTTCGCGAATTCTTTTGCTCGAAATTTAGTACTGACCTATAACCTTACTCATCGGGTATTGTAATACTTTATTATTATTAATTCAAAAAATAAGTGTAACATACTTTTAAAGAAATCTTTTTTTCATACATTTTAGCTAAAATTTCGTAAAGTTGTTGACGTGAAAAGAGAAAAAGAATTAAATGAACGCCGTAAAAACGAAAAATTAACAGTACCAGCAGAGCATCCTGTTCGGAAATTGTTATTCAGAATGCGAGAAAGACACGGTACACGTATATTTCCGTCACAGATCTTTGCTGACCTCAAACAGGTTAATTAGTTATTTGTCTAATAAATTCAAAAATAAAATAAATATAGCATAAATAGACTATTAAAATTATCTTTCAATATCAATCTTTAGGAAGCAAAGAAATTAGAAACCACAAATTTGCCAGCTTTCTTGACCTCTAGTCTCGTCGAAAATCATGTCTGCAGCAAGCAACAACAATTTAAAACAGGTCGATCTTCAGGATCTAAAATATCTACCGTTTCCGCCGAAAATTTACCAAAAGAACGTCAGAGTTTTGATTACGCTCATCATACTGATCAAATTGTATGTTTGTACAAATTCCAAAAAGTTATTTAATAAAAAGTTATTAAGTTAATATCGTTCTTTTAAATAGTTATCGATATATGGATATATAATAATTTTTTAACAAAATAAAATTGTATGTGCGCAAGAAAAGTCAATTATGCAAGACTAAATGTAACTTTGCTTAGTTCAAAGCAGTACTTTTTCCATTAAGACTAAGTTTGAAATAATTTATGCAAAAAGAAATAAATATTTAAATGGAACCATTTATTACTAAATCATTCAAAAGTTCAGCAACCTTTCAAATAATCAAAAGAAGTTTTGAATTAATGAAGTATAAATTATGGCAAAAATACGTAATCTAAGTGATTGTATTAGAAGCTAAAAACAGTGCAAATATTCTACGCATATCAAATAAGCATTTCAGATATGATAACTAAACGAACAAACAAACCGCGCATAACTTGATCTTAGATAGAGTATCTAAAATAGTAACTGAATTGAAAAGATCTAACACAGAAGATTCTACTGACTAAAATATGTATTATTCTTATCAAAATTGTATTTTTAGCAAGAATTAGTTTGGTAAAAAGTAAATAAATCCTATATTTTCAATTTTTTTTTAATAAAAAGTAATTAAGGATTTATCAGCTTTACCACCAGTGCTAAAGATCTGTTTTGATCGAATCGAAGAGAAAATGAAGGTAGTTGATCAAGTTTCGCATAAATTGGATCATCTCAAAAAACTTGTATTCGGCTTATACAATTCTAACTCAAGTTTGTTTACTACAACACTTTTTTCAATTTATTTTTTGTCTTTTTATCTATAGTAATTTTTTTTTGGCATAAAATAATGTTAACATATAAAAGGCAAAAGCTTATTTTGTTCAAAGTTATGGCAAATATTATTATTATTATTACAATTAATATTCGATAATTTTAATGTTTCTAAAGACAAAAAATATTGTAGAACAATTTTAATTAATTATTGTCAGAAATATGTGAAACAAATGCTTTAAACTTTTCAAAATTATTAAATAATATACTCTTTATTCATTTTTTCGTAATTTACGCGCCTTAAAAATGCTTAATTACAGAAAGCCATTTTAAAATATACTTCTCAAAATACAAAAAGCAAAATTTATTCAAAAAATGAATCTTTCATTTTAATAATAATAATAATAATAATAATAAACAGTAATAGGTATATTTTTTAGTGGAAACATCTCCAACTTTAACAGTTGATTCGATGAATCGAGTGATGGGTGCACCATTTATGGGTCATAGTTCATCATGGGGTTCTGAAACAACTAGTAAATTACCAGTTTACATTCCACCATTACAAAATTTGAGTACAGACTTGGGTAGCTCTGAAGTTAAAATGTCAAGACCAGACTTCATGCCATCAATTTATGTTGAAGATGAAACAGAAGAGGATAACAGCGGTTCATTTGGGAAGGACAGTCCACCAAAATTAAGACGAATTTGATTAGATTAAGTTAAACTTGTAATTAGTACGTAATTTATTGTGACTGAAATTTTTGATTTTTATACTATTTTAGAATATTTTTTATTTGGAATCAATTATTTATAAATGACATTGTTTATTAATATGCTATTCCAATAAGAATTCTAAAAAATCAAATATTTTTTTTTGTTTAAAATTGATTAAATTTAAAAGTAACCAAATTTGTTTAATCTCGAAACTAATATAGTTATTAATCCGTCGTCACAAATGTGCCTTCGATATCCATTTCATTAATTTTGTAAATTTATCTCGATGAAAAATAAGCAAACATGCCCTTTGACCTCAAGTTCAGTTCTTCCTTACTGATTACCGAATTTTATTGAAAAGTAAAAATTTCATTCTTTTCCAAAAATGGTAAATTATGAATTTTTAACGAATTGTCTTTAGAACTATAAGTTTTGACTTCTAGCTTTTGGAATACTTTTTTGATTGTGAGGTTTAGGCATATTTGGCTTGTATATTTATCGTTCTAAGCAATAATTCATTTTTTACAGCAGTTTCAAGTTGTAGAATCAGTTTCATCTTGGTGAATTCCATTCCTTCAATGATTAGATCTCAATTAACGATACTTTTAATAATGATATTCAAATTTGTTGTATATCGCAATTTCTAATTATTATTTTGTAGAATATGATGTTCCACTAAAAAAGCTCATTGTTATGCGAATTGGTTGAAATCTTATTTGATTGCTATATTTATTTATTGTGAAGTTTCTAATCTTTTTTAAACCTTGAACTTAAGGGTCAATTTATATACAATCAAAATTTATTTCAGCGATAGCAGAAACCATTTTTAATATTGTCAATATTATGCATGCACCTATGTAATTATGACGGCTAAAAAATATTCAGTGCTAAAAAATTTAAAAATTTTGTCTTAAAAAAATGACTTAAGCACAAATATTTTAAATAGTACAGTACAATTACTTTTTCTTATTGAGATTTTT